AGAGAAGAGGGAAGAGAAGAAGGGGGAAGGGGTTGGGGGGATGGGAGATGGGCTATTTGGCCGGATTGGGCCTGGGAAATGGGGTGGGGCCCGCCCTGTAGGGCTGAGCCGATCATCCGTGGTTGGCCCTATTTTTGGGGTTACGTGGCCTGCTAGTTAGCAGCTGCAGATTGCGTCCTTGGATAATAGTTCACCGCTGAGATAGTATACGTATATTCAGTGGGTCAATTCTATTCTATTATACACAGGTGTTTATACACATCATATTTATAAGAATTTTGCTTCCCGCACCATCGACGCCTGGAAATATCCCGGAACCACTTCATACTCTTCCACCGCCTCGAACCCATACTTCTCATACAGGGGCCGTCCCGCAGGCGTGGAAGCCAAGAAAGTCGGCACGCCTTTCTCATCTGCCCGGTCCAGTCCCCAACGCAGTAACCTCGATCCGATGCCCCGGCCGTTGAACTGTGGGAGAGTGCCCAGCATGTCGAGGTCTGAGCGATTAGCATGATGCAGGTCATACTACAGTAAGAAAAAGGACAACTCACAGAAATACCCCTCCTTTCTCCCTCCCATGACCCTCTTCTTCTCACTATTCATCAAACCAAAGAATCGCTCACAGAGATCGGCATCCGAGCTTGGGGGCCAAACTGTCTTGGTTTGATTTTTCTCACCATCTAAAGTCACTTCCTCTGGGACAGGATACCACCATTTGGCAAACGCAGCTACCGTCCCCTCTTCACCCGCGGTAACTTTCAAGAACGCAGTGCGGGGAGTCGCAGTAGCCCGCGACTGTTCAATCTCGTGCTTGAACTGATCTACCCAGAAACTGCGCACATCCTCGGTGATGGGAAACATGCGTCGACTGAACGGGTCGGAAAAAGCATGCAAGAAGACATCTGCGATAGCGGGGCTATCACTGGGTGTCGCGGGGATAATGCGCAAGTCATCTTGCTGAGGTTTCTGGTGGGAGCGTGCGGGGGTTGGCTTGGGTTGTGAGGGGGTGCTGATTAGGCGGGTTTGCAGCTGTGGACGGATGCATGTTTTGGGCATGGCGGGGAGACGCAGTCGATGCATGATGAAGATAATGGAATGATATCGGTTATGATCGGGTACACTAATGACCGACTAGCTGACTTCGAAAAGCTTGAAATAAATAATTGAGAATTGCTTTTTTGACTCATTTTGTTTCTGTGAAAAAATTGCCACTTTTTGCTGCAATCACGTGGTTCCGATGGAATGATTCCGAGATCGTTCCGAGATGAATGTGTGGAGATGCGATTGATCGGGCCATTTTTAGGACATCGTGTTGTGAAGGATGAAACTGGCGAGAAACTGTTGAGCATCGAGAGTGACAGAATATTATGTTAGGTAGCTAAATATGTATTAGCTGTGCTAAGCCGAGCTACTAGGCAATAGTCGTAAGACTAGTAGAATATTGGGATAGGTGCAGGACGAGCTTACTGTGCACAGGCAATAATATTCAGCTAATGCTTGTAGTAATACGCTATCTTTTACTCATAACTATGTGGTAATGCCCCATCTTACTCACAACCTGTGACACTCAGCCACCACAACGATTTATAGATGCCTGGCAACCCGCGGATTCCGAGCTGCATATAGGGCTGACCAACAAGCCTCTGGTCCGCAAGGCGAGACCCCTAAGCTTTTGGAACCGCCCGCCAGGCCAATCACGGCCCCCAAATACACCTGTCGCCCCACAAAGGCTGTACTCTGGATGGCACAAATAGGGTCCAGACGAAACAAACATGCAGCACACCAGGCAGCCATATTCTAGGGGTCGACAGTTCTTCACGATGTTGTAAATAATAGAGACGGGATATTAAGGGAAGTCAGTGATGGCAGACGGGGGTTGGTACAAATTATTCTAAGTTCAGTGTCGTCAACGGCGATTCCCACACGATGAAACCAATCTTCTCAAGTACGAGCCATTAGGCTTCCTCATAACGGCGATTTCCCGTGTAATTACTGTCCCTGGCCCCCACAGACAGGGTTCGCGCCGATCAACAGCTTCGGGCAGTCCAGCGTCTCGCTCACACGCTGCGCCCAATGGCTGTGCTGACGGCAGCCTAGAGGGTCTCCTCTTTGTCCGATTTCTCCTATATGTCCTGAGTACAATTGCACTTCTTCTGCTTGCTCTCTTCTTTTCTACTTTTCTATCTGTATATGTATCTGAAAACCTCTATGCACCATCTCAATCCTACATACTTTATATGAACATTCCAACATGACCTCTTCTAGCACCCGCAAGCAGAAGAAACCCCAGCAGGCCAACCGCAAGGTGCTGCTGGCCGACGCCATCGGACAGACGCTGTACGAGCGGCTCCTACAAGCCCGAATTGACTGTCCCATCGCCCACTGGGCACCTGTGCACCATCCTCTGGCTCCTCAGCTCTCATCCACCATCAACTGCAACCTCAGCATCAACAGCACCAGCTCCAGCATCCTCACCACCTCCCCATCAGCCTCCACCTCCGACATCAAAAGCATCCCCTCCAGCCGCACCAGCCATGACTCACTCCACAAACCCTCATCATCATCCTCATCTCTCCCACCCCTCCCTTCCAACCGCATCATCACCCTCGGCGGACCCTGCACCAACCTCTCCACCCTCACCACCATCACCCACTTAGCCGCCAAATACAGCCAAGTCTCGCACATGTCCCTGCTCGACCCCAGCTACACCGTCTTCCTCAACACCACACACACCGCCGCGATCTGCTTCAAAGTCGTACACCAAACAGCCATAGTCGCCGGCGACCCCATCAGCTCGGAAGAGAACATCCCATCCCTCCTCTCCGAATTCAAGACCTACCGCAAATCCCACCTCCTCGGCATGGCCTTCCTCGGCGCCAGCCCACGTCTCACACACTACGCCCAAAGCCAAAGCCAAAGCCAGACCACAAACAAAAACAACTGGACAATGCTCCACTTCGGCACCTCACGCGTCCTCAACCCTACCACCAACACCCTTCTCAACGAATCAACCGGAAAGCGTCTTATATTACAAAACAAACAACTCCTAAACCCAAACAAAGGCGGCATAACCCTGGACATATACATTCCCGGCAGCAATCCCACATTAGAAAAAGACCTCCAAGAAATATACACAACATGGCGCACCACCCGCAACACCTCATCCACTCCCCAAGCCTTCATAACAGAATACACCTCCCCCTTCTCATCGACTCTCCTCCCCTCACTCATGACCTACATCTATGCTAAGGATAAAAACGGCGTGCCGCTCGCCTTCGCAGCCCTGCGCTACTGCGGCGCTAACAACGGATACCATATCGATCCGTGCGTGGCGCTACCAACGGCTCCCAAGGGACTGACAGATCTGTTGATGTTCGCTGCGATGGCGCTGTGTCGGCATGCCGGGGTGGGGTATTTGAGTGTGGGCTTTGAGCCATTAGAGGAGTTGGGTGAGGTCAGGGGGCTGAGGGGCCCGTTGGAGCATTTGGCGAGAGGGGCGTATCGGTTTGCGTTTAAGCGGTTGCCATCCATTCAGGGGAAGAAGGCGTATTATGATAAGTGGAGGACGGAGGAGGGGTTGGAGGAGAGGTTGTTTTTGGTCTTGACGGGGGCGGGGGGTGGACTGGGGGTTGTGGCGGTGACGCATGTTGCGAATGTGAGGATTAGGAGGGTGGTTTGGGGGTAGGAAGATTCATAAAAAAAGGAAGAGGATGTAAGTAAGTATGTTTTAGGGTTATTATGTTTTGGTGTATATTTGGATGTGTGTATGATATATCTGGTATATGGGGGCTTGCATAGTATTTTAGTTGCATATGAGTTCAATTGAGCATAAAATTTGTCTTCTGGTCACAAGTGTGAAGCATCACTACTAGACGCCCTGCTACTTACTACTTAATATGGGATATTTCAGCCTAAATCCGTTCAGGAGACATAATAATGGATTGAGTAGTTACTGGGAAAGCAGCATGAAAAATGCTCTTGAAAACCAGGCGTGGTTGAATAAGGGTGCTAAACATGCAGTATACTGAGGATAGTTCTCCTAAGGATTAGGATCTACTCGCCACCAGCGAGGCAAAAAAGCCCTTCCATGTCTCATACATGAATTCTCTATATAATGCTCAAGCTTAGCAAGGCACTCTCCGGCGAAAATACAAAAGCCGGTGAGCCATCTCTCGTCATGAGGCTTACGCCATAGCCAAGTCATCGTCAGTCGCCCAGTTGACAGCTCTATAAAAGCTTCATTTGCTGCCCGTGCTGACTCGACGGCATGATCCGTATTGTGAAGAATAAGAATCATCATACAGTAGAGCAATACATTGTTTTTTGGGCCACAGCCACTGTTCGGAGAACAGCATGTCAACTGGTTCGTCAATATTCTGTACGTGACTTCCCGAGATTTGAATGTTCCTTGCTAGACCTGGATGAGAAATAGCATGTTGTGGCAAATATGGGTATGAAACTATCCCTCATGATGCCCAATGACACTCAGCCGAGCGCTGTGTGTAACATTAGGTCATACCAGTCCGCTTGATAGGCAGAGAGTCCCTTACTGATCTCTAGGACCGCATACCACATTTATATCGACGGAGAGCGCATAAGTGCGTTAACTAGAAAAGCAGTGGCTATGTTGTAAACTGCACACTGTCACCTGTCAAGGCCTGGTTTGGCCTACCACTGACAGTATTTGTCCAAGTATCCAGAAGCAGGATCAGATTATAGTTATTCAAATCCTAAGAGAGGTATCGGCCGGAATGACCCTGACCATGTACTCGGAGTCTCATGCAATACGGAGGTAAAGATCAGGTCGTAGGTAACTCCCGTAGGCAGCAAAGGGTTTATGGTGAATATTCCGACCAATTTCCCAGTCCAGTCTCCTTACATGATCAATCAATCAACAACATAAACTTGATCTCAACTCACCTAGAAATTGACCTCATCAAATTCCTTACTGGAACGGTACTATTAATCTACTCGATAACATAATTTCAACTCCCAGCACCATGTCCGCCACCGTCCAGACCCGAGTCGTTGATCTCGACCAGCTAATTCCCCGAGTCGTCAGTCAAGACCTTGAAGGTATTTCACCCCCCAACTCTTCTTTCTGAACTAGCACAACATCATCTAATATATGTTCCCCCCGAAGAAAAAGACATAGAAAATCTCATCCCATGGGTGTACAGCCACTCCAATATAGCCGACGAAGATGACCAGTACGACTTATCATTAGAAGAGTACGACATCAGACAACTTTTCCAGATGTTCTGGGATTACCATAATGCTTTGGCCTCAAACGCCCGGAGCCTCGTTGGCCCTATAACAGCGAAAGTGAAGATTGTATTGCCCCGAAAGAACTGGAAAGTGGCACAGCCGAGAACCTTCTACTTACAAAGTTTGATGCTACATACCTTACTAATGATAGTCCCTGCGAACGTTGAGAAAAGCAGGGCACGGGATATGGAGGTCTGGTGAGTGATCGCTCGTATTTCTACCTACTATATGGAGATAAAAGACTTATGATGGTAGGACGCCCAATGTGATATCGTCATCGAAGTACATGATCGGCCGTCAAAAGTGCGCCAGCATGCCATTGGCACACTTGACGGTTGGTCCTCGTAGGGAGCCGATAATATCTTGTCCTACGGTGCGTATATCGTTTCCACATACGCCTTCTCTTTATTTCATCAAATGTGGGCATGAATGTTCCTGTATCTAACAAGCTACAGTGGCGCGAAGGACAACCCTGGGACCAATTCACCGCAGAAGTCCTCAGTGTCATGCTCGGCCAGCTAGCCGACAACATCCGCATCCGCGGTCAGCGATTACAGGACCAGGAAGTTTTTGTGGTTGGCTTCTATGGCCCTCATATCTACATCGCCCGTGGATACTTCCCCGTTGAGACAATCAAAAGAGTACACGCAAAGGGATGTTCGGATGATGAACACCTCGAACTGAAGTTTACGCGAGGATATGATCCCTGCCGGAAGGACGACTGGTTGGAGGCTATTCGGGCGCTCTCAAGGCTGTTTCGGTACTTGATGAGTGGGAGTGCTAAGGTTGGCGCTATACAGAAGATTTTGTCTGAATCTGTTGCCACGGTAAAGGGTTCATGATCACCTTTCAGCTCTTTACTTGGATAGTTAGGATGCGTTGGATTACATGGTGGATAGGAAAGTTATTGAGTGTGTTTTATTTGAAGCATGATCAGGATAGAAATATTTTCTGGTTTACTAGTAAGCTCTGAGTTCTTTGCGGAGCCAAGTCTATCAAGATATCTCGTGATAGAATCGAAGTATCTTAAACTCCTATTTTATGACATGTAGCTCCTCCCCGGTCTCAACCACACACCCAATCACCCCACGACCACTGAAGCAAACACCTAATCGGGCAGACTGTCAACCCATCCATCGCTGCAGCCACAGTATTCAATCTTACTTCCTCACTGGCAATATACCCTATCAGTGCCCAGAAAACCTCAACGCCTGGAGCCTATTCCGAGCGCATTATCAGAAACAAATGGATCTTCCACCCCTTACAAAATCACGCAAACAGCAATCTCTGCAGGCGGAGCCATCTTTATTGACTCAACGTACTCCGGCGAAAAGCACGCCGCGCTGATATAGAATAGCGTTCCATGTATACTTCTCACACAGGCCCCCAGTCACTAGGTTTGATGACACGTCGATTGCTTGGCAACCATACTTTCGATAATCTCGTTCACCTCTTAAACCAAGTTTTTCATAAGCATTTCTCATTCCCCAGAGCTTCGTTCAATTCCTTAGAAGGAAATCATGTGCAGACAGTTCGACTTGGTGGAAGATTGAGTAGCGGGATTGCACGGACGGCGATGACTTCTTTGACGTCCCAGTCGGAGCTGAACGGACTATCGGAGCTGAAGATGGGTAGATAGTTGTGTTGTGGTTGGCACAGAAAGAGTGTCTCAGACAGTGCAGTTTCAGCATAATGGCGTTCCCGAGTGAGAAAGACTGCCATGTCTCATATGGATAGAGAATGGGTAGACATGATCTGTAGTGATAACGAATACTTCCACTTAGCCAGATAACTCGGCTGATGTCAGACATCGGACGTGTCTGAGAAGAGTGAATATTGTGACAGGTTCGCAATTGGAAAGTAATGATAATATTGAGATGGCGTAGAATAATTATATGTTGTGAAGACAGGGTATCACAGGATAGGGTATATGTTCATCTATCACGGTGCAAAGTTTATAGAAACCAAAGGTGACAGCTGGAGAGATATAGTGCTGTGTTTGTGGTTGTTGACATTCTGCATCCATAGGATGGAAGGGAGTAGAGTGTCTTGCATTAAATGTTGGGTGAGTACCAAAACTTGAGCGGTAATGTAATGATATAAATGAACTTTAAGAGAGATGAAGTAGAATCAAGTGTTCTACATGAAGGTGATGATTGAAATCAAAGGCATCATTGTTGATGGGGCAAGAAGCTGGCTTAAATACCCCTTGGTCTCCGTGATGGCTTTCACCAAGCTGTGGGTCTTTCACTCGAAGGATCGTTCCGTGCAGGGCTATTATACCTGATCCATAATACTTATGGAATACATATATAATGAATGGGGACAGATTGAATGGGTGATGCTGCAAGTGAAATGGCAGGAAAACGAGGCTATTTATAGGCAAGACGCGTACTAGATTTGTAACCCTGATGTTTGGAATGTTGCGATTCTGCTCTACAGCAGATCGGAGTTTTCCACAGAGTAGACCTGGTTTTGTTCGCCTGATATTATATACTATTATTAGAGCGGCATGGTACATGAAGGGTATCACTATTGAATGTGCCGAAATGTGAAGAGCATTGTCATATGGCTGGAGGTGGACTACTATGCACATAAATCATCAGACCCTCAGCATCAATTTACACTCTGGCTAGGTTTTTATATTGCAGACAATGAATAGCATTATTACTCGCTCCTAACTAAACAATCTGATATACCCCCACCTCCAATCCACATTATTCCCATCTAATCATCCGCATCCCTGGGATCATGTGTCCTCCAAAACTCCTCATACTCATCCTGTGTCTGCCCCGGCACAGGCTGATAGAACGTCAACGGGGCAAGAGGAATGCCCAAATGCTCCATCTTCTCAATCTTCCTCCTCGTGGCCTCATGCCTCTTGTTCACACTATACACACTAATGCGATGCGCCGAAGACGTCACATGCAGACCCCAATTCCACGCAGCCCGCACATTCAACGGCTGAGTATTCAACGAATTATCCCAACACCGACAGACAATCTCAATCCAACCCTCAACATCACACGGCAACTCCATCTCCCATGTCCGCCACGTCCACCTCCCCTTCTTCGACAATTTTTCCTGCGGCACCGCATACCAACTGAACCCTCCATCCGCCGACAACTCCACCCGCTCCGGCCACCGTCCACCCCCAGAATACGCCCACCCCTTGCACCGGATCTTCCCTTCATGAACAATCACCTGCTTCGTCCAGGGTGACATGATCGCCGAACTGACCGGCATTTCCTGGATCTGGATCCCATCCGTAGGAAGCTGGTTATATTTCCCGACCTGCTGGTTAAAGTAGAGATACTCCCTGCTCTGCACAGGTGCTCGGGATGGATTCTCAATCGCCTTGATCCGGTACAACCACTTGACGCTGCGCGCGCCGATATACCCCAGCACCACGACCCGCAACGGATACCCATGGATCTTGGGCAATGGCTCGCCGTTCATCTCCCACGCAAGAATCACCTCGTTCGCCTTGACCTTCGACCACGGCACACTCACCACGTAATTCATCGCCTCCAGATCCTTGATATACGTCTCCGCACCATACAACTCCAGATGCTTCGCGGGCGCAATCAACCCCCCGCAATCCTTAATCACCTTCTTCAAACTGATCCCCACGTACCGCGCCGTCCCAATCGCCCCTTCCGCCCACGGCGCCTGCGGCACTTCATCTCCCTGGCCCCCATACAATGCGATCTGCTCGATCCGCCGCGTCCCCGAACACTGCATCGTCACGAGTTTCTCCATCCGCGGGAACCGCGTCTCATCTTGCAGATCCTCCAATGTATAGCTCTTCGGATGTTTCACCAGTCCATCTAGCTGGAGATTCCACTTGTCCTTCTCGATCAGGGGAATCCCTCCGTGATTGCGCACAAAGTGCAGCGGATTCGGTGTGACCACCTTAGACGTGACCAACCGCTTCGGCGGCTCCCCGTTATACGGGAACTGGAGCAGATGCAGCATATCCGGATGTTTCTCCCGGAGCACAGTGCGCCAGCTATCATCCGCCACCGAGGCGAGTTCCCCGCCTAGCGCGGCGTGCCATTGCTTGAAATCCTCGCCGGTCAGGACGGGGTTGGTGTCGGGGATAGGACCGAACATGTAATCTGGACAGGGGTCGAAGGTCTGAGAGGTGAGGATGCGGTGCGCTTTGGCTTTTTTGTCGGGGTAGTTTTCCCATTCCACGTATCTACCCATAGCCATGTATCGTTAGCATTTAGAAGAATTATAAATAAAGGATATTGGAGGGAGAGATAAATACCCCTTCCACCCCTCCTTCTCCCTTTTAAACAACTCATTCCGATCCCCGACTGCCTCAATCGCCTCCTCATCTTTATACCGCTGTGTCGGCTTCGGCGGGTAGATGTGCACGGTGTCCAGACCGGATTGATCGAGAATAGGCAGTTTGTGACCTGCCATGCCTTGCTCGATCTTCCATTCGTCGGGCCGGTTGGTCGTGTCCATTTGGGCGGTTAGGGTCGTCATGGTGCTGGTTTGGGTGGACATATCCCTTTCCCGGATCAGCCCTTTGTTATTATTAAAGCAGTGTGTTTATGATGAGTAGGTTGATGTGGATGGGTGGTGGTAATGGGTGGTTTATATGCTTGATGAAGTATAATAAGAATAGAAAATAGTAGTTGTAGTAGTAGTAGTGTATGGGAGAAATACGCCGGAAGCAGCAGATTCGAAAAAGAGGGGAAGGAGGGGGGAATGCATATACTTGGTCGGTTTAGTGAGTGGTGGAATGCTGGAACGGGTGACTTCATGACTATCACTACCACTACCACTACCGCAGACCAACTAACTAACTATAGTACTATACTAGTATATCCCTGTTGTGTTTACACCCGAGAAATCGCCGGACCTGTCGGGTTGAGCGGGGAGGCGGGATATCTGACTGGGTTGAGTCAGATTGGGATATTTCTTGTTTTGCGGTGGATGGTGTAGGGACTTATGGTATACTTGTTTCATAGTGGACTGATGTAGGGAGGGAGGTTGTAGGGCTGGGGTATCTAGCTTGTGTGGACTGTGCAGTGGGTATATTATCATTAGGGTGGATCTGCAGTCCGTGGCATTGGAATGGACCTGATTGGTGAATGCGCGGTCTAGATCCGGAATTGGGTTTGGGGGGAGGGGGTTATTGTTCCGATGCATCCGGATATCTTGTTGATCAGAGCAGTGTAGATATTATGAAGGGGGCGAGCAGATAAGGGTTGCTGTGTTGCGTGTAGTTATTTTATGGTAAATTAATGTATACCGTGATGCCTTTATATGTTTAAATGGTATAATTTGCAAGTCTGTAAGTACTATTATAAAATATAATAAGATAAATGAAGATGAGAGACGTGTACAGCATGTGATAAACTTACAATCTGAGAAAGCGGTATTGAAACTCACCCGTTACAGTCCACATGCAGCAAATTCTTCCCGATGGTTGGATTGGCTACTGCCATGCACAAGAATGCTCCTTGACATTTTTTCTCCGAAAGTACTAAGCAATGACAGCTGGCATGCATTCTTGACCATCCTAAAACAACAAACACTATAATCAACACTTTTATACCCCTAGCTACACAAAGTACAGCACATCTACGTATCTACTATCTATTTCTTACTCTCCCTCTTCCTCACCACTTCCTCCGTAGCCTTCTTCACCCCCTCCCCTAACCCCGGATCCACCATCGAAAACAGCTCTACATTCATCAGCACCGTCACCAAAGAAATCAAGGGATAACTCACCATAAACCCTCGCCCTCAACTTATCACTCCAAACCTGCCCCAAATGCACCGCCACATTCCCAAAGAACCGTTCCTGATGTCCCTCCTCCTTCCCAATCACCTTCCACAACCCCCTCGCTTGCACGAAATCATCTTCATACAGTCCATACTGAAAGTTGCTCACCTGACCTACCCACTTCTCATGCTCTGTGAGGGTGCTGACAGCCTGCGGTGCTTGTCCTTTGACATCTTGGTAGAATTTAATGGGCTTCAGAGATGAACCCACGTAGTTGGGATCTGCGCCGTAGTTGTCGGAGAAATTCATTTGCCCGTCGCGCTGGTAGGGACAGTACACTTGGGTTTTGGCCGCGTTGGTCGGGAGTTGTTGGTAGTTGGTGCCGACGCGGTAGCGTGCTGCGTCGGGGTAGGAGAACATGCGCGCTTGGAGCACTATACCATATATATTAGTCTTGGATTGGACTGAGGAGCGGATAGTGGGGATGTACTTGGGTCTGCGGATGGAGCAACACCAGGAACCATATTCGATGGGGAGAAAGCGGCTTGTTCAATGTCGGTGAAGTAGTTCCGGGGCTTGTCAATTAGCACAACGTTGTCAACCATTCGGATCAAAGTAGGGAACATACATTCCGATTCAACTTCATCGTCCCAATCTGCCGCAGCGGAAAATCACTATGCGGCCACACCTTGGTCATATCGAAGATATTCCACCGATAGTTTTCAGCCTGCTCGGGAGACATGACCTGCACATAGACATTCCATGTAGGATAGTCTTTCCGCTCGATGGCTTCAAAGAGATCCTGGATGAGAAAGTCGGGGTTTTCTCCAGCCATGCGGACGGATTCTTCCTTCGTGAGGTTTTTGATGCCCTGGGTGGTTTTGATGTGGAATTTGACGTATTTGAAGGAGCCATCCTGATCCAGAGTTATTGGGTAATCATAAATCTGTCAAATAGGGGTAATACCTTGAGGGTGAATTTGTAGGTATGTCCACTGTAGGCATTGATATGTCTCAAAGACGCAGGGGTGCCTCGATCACTGAAGAGATGGAGGAGCTGGTGGAAGCCTTCTGGATTTCCGGCGTGGAAGCTAACTAGTTAGATACCTACTTGGTAGTATGGATATGTGTACGTACTCCCAAAACTATCAATGACAAGTTAGCACCTGACCCAACAAAACAACTCATAGAAGAAAAATACCATATTTGGATCCGGCAAATGCGACTGCGGATTCCGCTTATGAGACCGATTCAACGACGGAAACTTGAGCGGATCGCGAATGAAAAAGACGGGCTATAACCAACACATTAGCTACACCCCCACTTCACATCTCATCAACGAGAGGTATTACCGTATTATTAAAAACCCAATCCAAGTTCCCCTCATCCGTATAAAGCTTCATTGCCCAGCCATGCACATCACGCAGGGTATCGGCCGATCCAGCCTCCGGACCAACGGTCGAGACGCGCAGGAGTAACTGGGTGGTTTTGCCGATTTCGCTGAGGAAGCTGGCGGAGGTGATGTCGGAGCAGTCGTGGGTGCAGGTGAATTCGCCATATGCGCTGTGCTGTGCTGTTAGTAGGGTTGTTGTTGGGGAGGTAGATGGGGGAGGAAATGTACCCGGCTGCTTTGGCGTGTACTACGCTGTTGAACAATACTATTAGTATTTGTAACGATGGTGATGGAGGTAGTGAAAATACCGCTCTGGAATCCGCTCACGAGCAAAGTGAGAGAGAGTTTCAATGAGCTGGGTATCCTGCATTAAGAGAAGACCGCCATTGCCGCTGCGCAACTGCACCGAACTGGCGTTGCTGGCGTAGGGGCAGCCTGGTTTATTAGTATATTTTTACTACTATATGTACAGTTGTAAGGACATACCTTCCGCGAGGGTATAGTAGCGTTGATCCATTATTGCTATTCAAGCAATTGACAAATTCGACAAGTTGCAATTTATCCACTACAAAACACTCAATTCCCTCCAAGAAATCATGTTTATACTTATACCCTGGCCCTCCAAAAGTCAATTACATCACAACATACTACCCAATGCTTATCATACTTTACCACCACCACCACCACCATCAAATGAGACACATTCTTTACTCATCCAAACCAATCGCAACGTTAAACCGTAGATACGATAAACAGCCTACTTCACCACGACTCTAACCCCCATCCCCCCCCTAACCTCCCCACCCTTCACCACAACCCCCAAAACCCCCCACCAGCCCTTCCTCACCCCCCGAAACGCCTCAATCAAACCAGGCCTCACTCGATCCAATCCCGGTCCTGGCTCTCTCACACTCGTAATTACCACCACTGCCCCATTCTCACTTCCGTCCTGATTCCCGAAATGTATCTCCGTACCGGGAGGTAAATTCCCCAACTCGATGCCCTCCGTCGTCACGTTTTCGCCAATTCCACCCGGAGTGAGGGGCTTGGTTCCCTTGAAGGAGGAGGTGGAGGAGATATGACGGAGGGATTCGATGGGGAGGAGGTGGATTTGCCGGAGGTTGCTGGCTGTAGTGCTGCTGGTGGTGTGCTGGGTGGTTTTGCCTGCGTGGCAGTCGCCGCTGACGCCGTGGTTGGGGAGGAGGGTTATTGAGGGTACGGGGGTTTTGGAGATGGTGTGGGTGGGGGATTTGGAGACGGAGAGGACGCGGGGGTGGGTGGTTGTTCCTGTTAGGGTTGTTGTTGTTGTTGTGGATGTAGTGGTGGTGGTGGTTGTGGACATTGTGGTGTGGATGTGATGGTGATTGTTTGCTATGATTAGTATAGAGTGGATGGGTTAGGAGTAGATGAAGTGGGATATAGTCTGGGATGATACTAATAGAATGATGGTGGGGTTACCCCTCCTGCCAGCTCAGCGACAGGGATCATCATCATCAGATGATAAGTCTCTGCTTGACGGAAGCTTAAATGGTTAGCACTGTGTAGATATGGTAGGTTTTTCTTCGGGTAGGTAGATCTCAACTACTTAGAAAGTAGTCTTCAGCTCTCCAAATATTCACAATATTCACAATGTGCACAATATTTCCATATAGAACGGCAACTCAATAGGCCTAACCCGCCAAATCTCGATCCCATCTCCCTCGAATACAATCCTCCAAATCCACCTCCCTCACCAATAGCCCATCATCATCCAACGATACTCCTCCCCTCGAACCCGCCAGAATCTCTCCAAACGGACCCACTATCCATGCTGCCCCTCCACACCCACTTTCTCCCGACGGCCCTTCCCTTCCACTACCACTACCACCACCAACATGAACATGTCTCTGCTCCACTCTCCCCGGACTCATCTCCCCATCCACATTCGAACTCATATCGGCATTCAACTGTCCTGGCCACACAATCTCATGCGGTCCCTCAGCCGTCACCGACCTCCGCGGTCCCATAGCTGCTGCAGTAGCACCGTCATCCGCATGCCGAACCTCCGGCCAGACGATCTCATGTGGCCCTTCAGCTGTAATAGACAGAGACCGTTTCTTCGCGCCTGGGGAGAATTGCCAGCTGGGGATACGGGTAGGAGAGGCAAGGTGATGTTGATGCGCAGGCTGAGAAGTAGTGTAACTACCCAGAACGAATACTCTTCCTTCGACAGCTACCGTGCGCAGTAAACTCTCCCATAGGCCGATTTCATCCCCACCATCGCTGTCACTACCATCGAGATAGGAGACACCCCCGAGGGAGATGTAGACTTGAATACCAGCTGTATAGAGTTCCTGCCGAACAAGCGGATGGTAATTCTCCTCGCATAAGCCGACCCCTATCTTCACCTCAAGCCCACTTTTGCAATTAATAGTGATCGGAGATGTATGCGGTTGTCCGGGAGAGAGGTATGTTTTCGCTGCACCGGTCTATATCATCACCACCAAACATTAGCCTGCCCGTTCATCCTCATACAGAAAGATAAGGGGTACAAACCAACGCAAAACACCTCCTCTTCTCCACCAACCCATTCGCAGGATGAATATACACCACAGTATGATACAAATTCCCACACGCGCGCTCCAGCAATCCCACAATCAGGAACAGTTTCGTTTCCTGAGCGAGATGTTCCAGGATCTCTGTAGCTTTGGATTTCTTCTCGCCATGACACTCTGGATTACTTCCCGGGTCGGAGAGGTCGTGAGCGCAATTGAATAGCTTCAAATATTGGTCTCTCGGACTCTTATTTCTTGCTGTTGCTGCAGCTGGTGTCGCGTAAGACGGGATGACGAGGAGATGAGCGCCCTTGGACGCTGCGGTGTGGGCGAGCTGGGTGATTTGGGATGGGGAGGTGGATGTTATGGTTGGGTGGGCGATGGCGAGGGTGAGTTTTCTGGGGGACATAGTAACTAATGAGATTAGACTAGATTATGATTATGACTATTATGAGAAGGATTAGGATGATCATGGTGATGCTGTTCGAATGGTGTGGTGAGATGACGAGGTTGGAGTGCGGAGAAGTTACAAAGTTAGATCATCCATGGTTACATGTGACGTAGTGCACTCTTTGTTTTGGCATCACAAACGGCCCCTGACAACACGTCATTTGGATATAAAACTTTCTCAGTGACTGCTGAGTTAATACCATCTACTGTTAACTATTCGGCCGCTACGGGTGATAAAGGTGGAAAGGTGTAGGAATAAATCAATCTTCCGGTATTGCGTACATACATTGATTCAATGTCTTATAATACATAAGCTCAACGCTAGACGCAAGAAATAGCTGCAATGCAAGCCCATGCGCCTCGCTATGACTCCAATTTTAATACCCAAACAACCCGTCCATCACAACTTAAGCAAATTGTATAAACAGGAAAAGATCAGTTAAACGTTCATCCCCTTTGCGGTCGCAGCCTGCTGCAACACCCGCGGCCACCGAGAGATCATTTCCACATCGTCCAGCGCGCCCTTGCCCTGGTTGCGCACGTATTGTGCACTAGGGTCCACTCGCGGCTCGTAGTCCCAGATCGATGGAGTGCCCTGGATCAGGGCAGAGTACACGAGGCGTCGGCGGCGCTGCGACCGCAGCACGTCCTCGCGGATCTTCTCCAGATCCCACCGCGCGTGCACCTCCTCGGTAAAGTACGCCAGCAGCTTGGCCGGCTCACGGCTCTCCGGGAGGGCGTACGCCGACTTGCCCGGGCTAGGGGTGCGCGGGGGCGTGGGGAACGGGAACGACGCACGCTGCATCGGTGACCCCCGAGGCGAATCGCCTGGCGTGGGCAGCGGCGCAGGGTTCAACTGTGTGACAGGCACGGGCTTCGGAGCCTCAAACGACGGCTTCTCCGTCAGCCCCGCCACCAAGTTGACCCGCTCTTGTGGGTCGGCTTCCAAGTCGAACAACATGGGTGGGTCAATCAACGAGTACACGAACTTGTAGCGGCCGCGCCGGATCATCACCGTTGGCGACTGCGTTCCTTCTGCCATGTACTCACCCAGCACCGTGTTGGTCTTGACGCCGTCCTCGCCGGTCAGGTAGGGCATCAGCGACACGCCGTCCAGCGGCAGCTCGCGCACCAGCGGTGCCCCCACCATCTCTGCGAATGTCGGCAGCAGGTCCATGGTCGACACATTCTCCTTCACCCGCTTGGGTGCGAATCGCTTGGGCGCGTTGACAATAAACGGCACACGCGACGAGTTCTCGTACCAGACCATCTTGTACCAGAGACCGCGCTCACCCAGCATGTCGCCGTGGTCGCCAGTGAAGACGATGATGGTGTCGTCACGGACTCCGCAGTCATCAAGCACCTTGAGCAGCTTGCCCACGTTGGTGTCGACGTACGTGCAGGCAGCGTAGTAAGCGCGGCGGGCCGCCTTGATACGCTCCTCGGGCATTTCCTTGCCCCAGAGGTCAATGCACTTGAGCACACGCTGCGAGTGCGGATCCTGCTGGTCCTGCGGGATAGCCGCCTGCTTAGGCAGCGGGATCTCGACGTCCTCATACAAATCCCAGAACTCCTTAGTCATAGCATAAGGGTCGTGGGGATGAGTCATGGACACGGTCAGACAGAACGGCTGGTCGTTGCGCTGACGCACATGATCATAGAGGTACTGGGTGGACTTGTAGATGACCTCCTCATCAAAGTCCAGCTGGTTAGTGCGCACCACGGGACCCGCCTCCATGACGGAAGACATGTTGTGGTACCAGTCGGGACGGATTTCCTATTTCGGTCAGCATTTCGCCATTCTCCAAGCCGGATGGCGGGGTGAATAAACTTACCGGCTCATCCCAATTCACTGACCAGCCGTAATCGCCAGGATAGATGTCGCTGGTCAGGCGCTGCTCGTATCCGTGCAGCTGATCCGGACCGCAAAAGTGCATTTTACCGGCCAAAGCGGTATGATAGCCTTCACGGCGCAGATAATGAGCGTAGGTGGGGGTATCTGCAGGCAGATCGGAAGCGTTGTCGTAGGCACCGATCTTGGAGGGCAATTGACCGGTCACCATGACGAAGCGCGAGGGCGCGCAGAGCGGCGAGTTGCAGTAGGCGGAGTCAAAAACGACACCTTCCTGCGCCAACTTGTTCAAGTTGGGAGTTTTGATGGGGGAATCCTTGTCGTGGAAAGCCAACAAGGGGGCCGCCATCTGGTCGGCCATGATGTAGAGGATGTTAGGCTTCTTCTCAGCCATGATGTTGATAGGGGACACTCTCTGTCCGGGGAGGGATGCACTGGATCAGGATAGAAGTGAAGTTAAAAGGGGAGACGCGTGACGTCGACACCAGAGAAGGCAATGATGTCGGAAAGTGTGACGGGAAGGTTAAAAAGGAAGGAAATGACGGAGGAGTAAGTGAGAGAGAGAGAGAAGTGTCAATAGGGAAAGGGAGCGGACGACAAAGAGAGACAGCCGGGCCAGAGAAGGATATAAGTAAGTCAGGCGGAGCGAAGGGACTGGTGGAGACGGAAGACAGTAGACGAGCAAAAAATTGACCCAACCAACCAAAGCATCCATGGGTGGGCAATGAAAACCGGGAGGGAAAAGGGCGACAGCCGCGCTACCGGGGCGTGTCGCACCAGATCTCCATGTCACCGCAACAATGGAACCATCAGCGGGGACGATGGTGTGATTGCGGAAGGTTCCATGGTTGGTGACGCAGGGAGGGTGATCTCACAGCCACGGGAGGAGGATCTTCAGGAGAGCCGAATAGAAGAATGATTGATTAATTGTATCTGGGGTGATGGTCGTGGTGTATGTATGTATCTATTATCTCCCGAAAAATGTGACTTTCTTATTTTGAAAGTCTTGGCTAAGTTTGCTGCATGGTATCTTTTATTTCTGCGACTAGACTAGTCTACTCTGGTAGTTCCGTTAGCATTATCTTTTCTGCTGCTTTCTGCTGCTGTCCCCGGCATATTTCAAAGAGCCAGAGTGGAGATCGGCAGAACCGCCTGATAACCGCCCGGGGCTCACCACTCACAGGCCAGAAAACGGGACACCGCCAATCCCTCTGATAGGCAACGGATTCCTCGAGGCGTTGCCACGCGAGCCAATCGCGGTGGCGCGGTTCTCCGATGGCGACACTAGTAAAACTGGTACTTTAGTCTAATCAATGGTCTTTGATCTTAGCCGAGATTATACCTGTTACCTTGAATCTTTCCTCCTGCCTGATTTGTCTGAGATAGACAATCCGCTGACACCGCTGCTTCGCTTCATTTTTCGAAATGAACCATCTTCCCTTCCCCGGTCTGCTAGCCGAGCATCCCGCTGCACACTAGTCCTTTTTCAATCACCCACTCTTGGCCCCTTGGCAAAAGGTTTCTTGCTGATTGGTCGCGCTGTTTCCACTCCCGGCCGGATCCGACAGGGGTTCTGAGGCTGATGACTAACGGGGACATGCGTCAGCAGCGTCGCCACAATGTTTGATTGGGTGTGGGATTGAGCACGCGATACATTGGGGGGATTTCCAAAGAACAGGCGGGTTTCACTACAGCCAGCCAGCCAGCCCCGACATGCGATCTGTCCTCATACCAATGTAAATTGGTTTACTGATTGATACGAGATAGAAACATCCCCGGTACAGTACATGTCATACAGCAGGTAAGTAATCTGACTTTATTCCATCCCCAGATTATACTACCACTTCTACTGAATGGTTTCCGGTGCAAGTCCACTGCACTCACCTCAGTGATAGACTATTTCCTAATAAGTAGACCTCATTACTAAGACAAGTAACTTCCACGGAGTCTTTCTCCAACAATCCAACCACCAACCAGATCAAAGCCCTCCCCTTGCCACTCACTCAACCCATTTCCAGAATTCTTCGCCGGAACCATTTATTATTCCCAGATGGGTTGGACAACGACGATAAAAAAACCAGGACGGGAAAGGAGACAAGAAGAAAAAGAAATCACCTGCCCATAATCCTCCGATCCACGGATCCTCACTTCTTCCCACCTTTACCAAGGCTTGAAAGAACCACAAATGTACAAGGACACATACTAACTAGTAGACTTTGTGAATAGAGCCAGAAATTCTAATTCAATGTCCCATGACTAGTACTTACTAGTATGCTTCATCCCACACAAACAGTTGGAAGTAAATCCAATCAATCAATTAATCAGTCTGAATCAAGCCAACCCTTACACAACGCCAACCCCCGTGTCCTGCCCACATCACATAATAATTTACATCCCACATACAACAAACATACACACAATAACAAGTAATCAAGTAAGATACATAGAATAGATAGATAAATTAAACTCGGACATGCCGTCGGAACGAATGTATCTATCTATCTATCCGTCACATCACCAAATATTCCGGGGCGATGGCATCATCGCCCTCCCGCCCCCCATCCATTCCGCGTGGAAATCCTAACTAAAGTTACGTATACATCTAGAAGATCATCCCACCGGTCGTCACAATTCTAGAACACATCCAAATACTTTGTAGATTAGTAAATGAACTATCTATTTTTAAGCAATTCACTTACGTAGACTAAACTACTAGCTGCGTGATCAGTAACTGCCGCTAAGGGATAGTTATTCCATTTCAGGTATAAATATTAAACTTTACTAGTAGTTAAGAATCATAGTATGGACTACTATTAGTATTATCACATACTAATGGTACTAAGCTTCCCCGCATTCCGGGGGGTCCGTGGGTCGAATGATCAATTCTAACTACTTTGTAAATAACTAAGATTTCATGTAGAATCTTATTTCGAGATGATCATTCTCATAGTAGTAAGTAAGTAAGTAGGTAGTGACATCTGCCTAAAATTTGAATCTCGCTCAAATGATGTATGTACCACAACATCCCACGCAGTCAGGTCAATCAGGCAAGTATTCAGATTTTCCACTGGGGAGGAAGGAGAGGGGCGGGGGGGGTGTGTTTGTAGAAGAGTAAGTTGCATGTATCGAACCGATCTCAATCCACTGCTGGTACAGTTGTCCACACTTGCTGTGCTTGTTGCACATAAGTTGGAATTGGAATTCCACCTGCTTGGCTTGGCGTGCACATCCGCCCATGTTGGTGGTCTTGGTTGGTCTCAAAGATCGGGAGGTACGTTACTGCCACATCCTGCTAGGTTTTCCTCCACATCAGCCGGACTCCGCTTATGCAATACCCTGCTGTCTATCTTAACAGGCAAAGCTGCTTGTAATGATGTATGTTTTTACTCTAGTGCAGGCAGATTCCTTACTGCCTGTCGCTTTAGGTTGTTTGCGCCTGAGGTAGCAGTTCACTACTTCTATATCAAGAAAGTAGTGAGTCTGCCTGTAGGTAGTAGAAGGCTACTCTTTAGGGAACACGCTTTGTCTACTAAGATAAGCGGAGGGTGTGGTATGAGCGAAGACCAATGTGGAGGAAGAGTGGTTGCTGTGGCAGTAGCTTCCCAAAGATGGGACTGGTCGGGGACCGCTTGGCGAATATTCTCTGGATGCGCGCAGTCATGTGCCCTGTGTCCCTTGCGGAAATGGGCTTGGCGGGTTAAACTTGGGGTTTGGTTTTACTTATCTACTGGTCGGAGAGACTTGGACGGACTACATTTTGAGGCTGGCTGAGTTCGCCACTTAAGTGTCAATGGAAACAAGTCAACGGCTATGATTTCGCTAATGACAGATGTACTCTTCTTATATATACCAACACAGCAGGGCCGCAGGCCACAACTGCCAAAGGCCCGCGACATTCACATATTTTTCCTGTCAAAGAAAGGATTGGATTGCCAGCGGTTGGATATGGCGGACCAATCTCATGTAGGACAGTGCTGGTAGATGACACCACGTGACTGAAATCCGGTCGAGGCGCCATGGATTTGTCTGCTGCGGCCATTGATTTGAGTCGATCAATCAACTTTGACGGAACTGCTTCGGTTAGCATCGGCCTACGTGCAACATGCAACAAAGCATTGACTCACCTGTAGATCCGCCGGATGAACATGTACGCCGTCAAGAATCCAACCGTGCCCGTCAGGAGACCATACACGGCGCACGCCAGGAAGCTGTAGCTGAAGAACAGCAGACTCGACACGAAGCCAGTGATGTGCAGGTGGAAGATAAAGTACCACACGCAGTAGCCAAACACCCAGAACGCACTGCTGCTACCCGTGAGGAAGCTCTGCCACCACCAGTGGTAGTTCTCCGCGCAGAGTTGGCTGTAGGTTGCGATGACCGTCACTTCGCTGACCGTTACCATCAGAATCGACGATACGGCGCTCAAAAAGCCAAACACGTAGTAGTATCCGCTCTTGTCCTGCCACAGGTTCTTGAAGACAAACAGAAGCTCAATGAACAGCACCGCGAATGGACCCAGCCCGGTCAAGAGAGTCCCGCTAATGCTGTGCAAATACCATGGCTGTGGCGGGATTTGACGTGCAATGGAGGTCGTCTTGGTCGGGTGCTCCCAGGGCGCGGTGCGCACGTATCCGTACCAGCTGCCCGCGTACACCAACGGCACTTGGATGAGCAGCCAGAGAGCCAGGAGACTCACCAGCGTGCCGAAAGGAATGGCAGTGCTAGAGGCCTGCGCCCACACGAAGAGGTTGAGAATGAAGATGAGGCAGAAAGCGAGTCCAGGGAAGAATAACGCAGTCTGAATCGGTGAGCCAGAGTCCTACCACACCATATGGACGACTTACTATGAGAGTGTTCTTGCGCCAATATGTACCGCCGAAGGTCTTGTAAAGCCTCCCCGAAAAGTACCCCGAGAAGAGACCAGCGAAGACGAATAGACCCATACCAACGCTGACGAAACCGCCACGGAAACTCGGGTTCAAAACACCCAGGCAGCTGAGTAGCAAAAGTCCCGACACCATAAAGAGCAGCTGCATACCGGAGCCAACAAGGGGTGCAAGCAGTCCACTGTACTGGGGCACACGGAACACATCACCATGAAGGAGTTTCCATCCGCTCACATCTTCGAGACCCTCGTCATCGGACGAGACATCCGCATCCCGTTCGACATCAGCTCCTTGCTCCAAGAGTCCATCGCCCTTTCTCTCGGGCTTGGCTTTCCGGACCTTGAGCTTTCCATCCTCCATGGCCCCATCTCCACGGCCCTTGATGTCTCCTTGAACCGTGCGACTCCAGATAACGTACACGGCAACCCCAAGAACACCAGCGATGGTCAACGAGTTGAGAATAGCAAGCCAATGTGTCGTAGAGCCCTCATCCTGGTTGCTGAAGTAGAGGTCCCACCGGTTCCACCAGTCGACTCCATTTTCTTCCTTGAAGTAGACAGAGTAGGTGTAGGGGATCTTCAAGGTGGCACCGTCGTCAATGTCGCCATCATCCTCGGGAATGTACGATGATCCAGGGTACATTTCGCGCAGCTTGGAAGTATCCGGGGGGATGTACAGCTCCAATCCCTCGTGGGTCTCGTGGACATGTTGGGGGCAGCCGCCCTCCAAATGATCGGCGGCGCGAATGCTCTTCGGGTAGATCTCGAATCCAACAATAACCTTTCCGCCCTCGGGTGCCGACCGCCAGCGGATGACAATGGTAAAGTGATTGTTGATGTAGTAACGCGGCTTGCCGTCGATGGGCGAAAATTCCTGGAATCCCAGCTTGAAGCCAGTAGCATAATATTTGCGACTACGGTCAACGGTCACAAAGCTTGTTGCTCCAGGCAGATTGTCGGCAATCCATTCCGCTACGTAACCTTCGTGGATGAGTTGACGACCCCATTTGACATCCTTGCGCCCGACCTCCTGTGTGCAGAGCGCTTGGCATTCGACATTTTTGCCCATCTGAAGTTCGAAATCCGAGGTCATGATGCGATCGCCGCGAAGGATCTCTCCCAGATTCAGAGACACGCTTTGTCCGGAACCGAAGGGAGAGCCACCATGCGATCTTCCGCTAGGGGGACAGACGAAAGGCAGGTCAAAGTAGGCATACTGGAGTTGTGTGTTGTCGGAGAAGATCTTATTCACAAGGAGGGGAATATGCTCATCGTCATTGTAGCGCTTGACCGAGTAGCCTGGCAGTAGCATTCATGCGTAAGCATCAAGAGTCCTACGGGCATCGTCGCGGCGTAGACCACCTACCAGGAACGTAGAACGCATAGGCATAAGACACAAAGAGAAGCCATAGCGTCCACTGACGGGGACACCAAAATTGAGACAACGCCATGATCGGATGGCGGAAGAAGAAGGATTCAGCCCACGGTGTCCGAAGCGGTGATGCTGTTGCGCAATGCACCCACGATCGCGGGCAGCTGATTCGTACGTGGCGGATCCGACAATCCCAGATGCAGATCAATAACTTTCAACTGACCGCCCGATCTTCCTTCTCAGAGCTCAACTCGTATAATTTGGGGATATTAAAAGCAGTATGTACGAAAGATAATTGCAGGCCAGAGCTCAAAAGACGAACATATCCGAAAGACTGAAGGAAAGGGACAGGCTAGTTGGCAAACGGGGATGGGTGATGCAGCCCGACGAGCAGGTATTGAACGGAGATCCAGCGGTTCAAGATGCGGGTGGGTGGAGGAAGACAGCAAAAGGACAACTCAGGCCGAGCGAACGAGTGGAAACGGCATTGAATGCCAGATGAAGTGAACTAAACCCGCGAGTATTGAGGGAAGAGGACGGAGGATAGGAAGAGATGAAACAGGAAGAGAGGGGAAGAAGGAGAAGAAGACGGGGTTCGTTTCTCGATGCTTTGTTTCGGAAGTGAAGAAGAGCACGGAAGCCTTGCCCTCCTCAAGGGGTTTAGCGCCATTCCGCAACCAGTTCCAGGCCGGCCTCCTTTTTCTATTCCCATGGTCAAGGACACTTCTATGGTAGATGCTAATAATTAAGGCATCTATTTATCTGCAAGCTATTCTTTATCCATGGCTTTAAAACTAACCTAAGGTTGCGCGATTCTGCCGGAGCTGCACCACCCACGTCACATACGGTCGGTCTTCACTGTTGGCATCGAATTGAGGACTTCAACAACCACTGAGAGATACGCTCAACGTCTTGTAGACTGAACAAACTTATGATTGTATTAAGTTTATAGTAAGTTTATTTGAACCAAGTAATCCATCAGAGAGGACTCTTCCTTGTAGAAGTAATACGACAAATATGGTACTGTCCGGCAGTATGACCACCAGTTAGGGTATCGGGTTAACAGCAAGTAAACTCCTATCGGTCACTATATTCTAGATGAAAAGAAAGGAAGATATTTCAGGAAAGGAAACCATTTCAGATGATGGGTTTGATCAGATATAATTAGCTGTAATAGTAGACAAAGGGGAAACACAAAGAAGCTTACAGACAAGACAGAGAATAGATAAGATAAGGGGAATGGCCATATCTATTGAATAGGACAGATCCTGGGCCTCTGGAGAGGTTTATATGCTTGGATGTTATTACTACTACGCTCGGTCTTAGTCCACGTTTTACTTTTCGCTTGCGATTGTAAATTGTCATAATTCCTGCTAATGTAACGCCGTGCAACTAGGCTGTGAGGATATTTGCTACATGAAAAAGGGTCATCCCGCATTGACACGTACGCAGAAATGCATCGTCAATAAGGGTTATAAATCAACTGGGAAAACTCGAAGAATGAAAAACAATAATGCAAGTCATCGCGGTCGGGATGAAGACGTGATTAAGAAGGGTGGCTCAGGAGATACTCCACTGCCCCTTGCACGCTGCCTCCTGCTCGACGGAGAGCCTCGATATTCCTCTCAAACTCGAAGAATCCCATGTCATTCAGTTGACGGAGCTGCTCCGCATACCGTTCCTCAGGAGGCCGGTTATCCTGCGGAGGGGGGCTGCCAAATCCACCACCAAAGAGTGCCGCCAAAGGATTGGTGCCAGCCGCGCCGCCTTCTCCCGGCGCAGCACCCAGATTTTGCATCCATTGTTGCAGTAATGCTGGGTCCCGGAGGAAAGGATTCTGTTGCGGATTGAAAGGGTTCGCACCCGCCTGACCGCCCTGGCCACCAAAGAGCGCTGGGTTCATGAACATGTTGAACGGATTCTGGAAGCCCTGCTGATTCTGTCCTTGTCCCGTAGCGTTGTCACCCCCAGCGGCTCTCTCGGTACCTTCCTGTTGAGTTCCGCCAGCGGTGGGGGAGGCGCCCGACGGAGTCGCTCCTGCAGCAGGGGTACCCATCATGGGATTGCCTCCAAAAAGCGCCGCAAAAGGATTTCCAGCACCAAGTCCGGCAGGCATGAAAGGGTTGAACGCGGCGCCAGGAGTGGGCGTAGTACCGGTGTTGTTCTGAGCGTCTCTGTTTGCCTCGGGTGTTGTGTTGGTAACCCCGGGAGCGGGAAATGCGCCTCCTCCACCAAGGCCCCCGCCACCCATAGCTCTCTGCATCTGTACCATCTGACGTATCGAGTTGGGGTCGGTGAGCATGCGGCGAAACTCCGGGCTCTGCATCATCTGCCGCACGCCGGGACCCATTTCGCGCAGCATGGGGTTCTGCTGGATCATCATGTCAATCATGGCGGGGTTTTGCAGAGCTTCGTTGATCGTAGACTGAAATTGGGGGTTTTCGAGCATGTTGAGCATGGATTCCGTGTCAGGAGGAGGGCCCATCTAGAAACAGTGTATTAGTGGTTTGTTGATGGCACAAGCAGTCTGTCAGGACAAGATCAGGCAAACGACTTACCCCGCCATCAGGTCCAAACATTCCCGCACCTGGCAGTTGCGCAAACCCGGCATATCTGGCCCCCGTCAACCCCGCGAGCGGGTTATTGCCCGTACCGGCAGCGAGATTCGTGGGAACGCCAGCAGCTGCAGGAGCAGGAGCAGCGCCAGCTGGTGCGGATGTTGATGTCGTCGACGCAGCACCGCCAGGGCGCACATTGCTGGGCGCACTCTTCACCAGGTGAATAGTGTGCCCGTCCTTGATTTTATACGTTGCCAGGGTCTCATTATCTTTGAGGACTCTGCCCGAGTAGATCAGACGCTGGCGCTCAGCCGGGGTATCAGCATATTCCGATGACGACAACTTCTCCTTCAAATCAGAGACGGAGGTTGATGATGGCAAAGTGAGAGTGTATTTGGCATCATTGGACGACTTCACGTTGAAAGTGATTTGCGCATCCTCGGCGGCGGCGGTATCATCAGCCATGGTTTGTATTGGGGTTGCGATGGGTTGGAGGGGATCGAGGGGTGTCCGGAGACAGTCAGCCTAAAGAGACAGATCACGTCACACAATAAAGGTGTCGGAGGAGAGTCGATCAAAGTAGGAACGTCGTGAAAAAAAGAGGATGGGGAGAGGAGAAAGTGGTGTAAAGGAAGGGAAGTAGGTAGACGGGTAGATATGCACAATGGACTGGGGAAGTTGTCCTCTTGCAGGGAGAGTAAAGGCAGCGTCGGCCAGTTAACTAGTTAACTTACTAGGTTGACTAGGTATGGGGTTGCCTCAGTGCTGAGTTAGCGGATGATAGCGTAACCGGCGAGGTGGAAGCGGGCAGAATCGCATCGTCCGCCTTCCAAGCACGCTTGTACCGCCCAAACGGTATTACCCCCGCCGGTCCGCCCACATCGGCGGGCTGCTGTGTAAGGTGCCGTACGTACCGTGTAAGTGAAGATAGAGCTATCACGTGATAACAGCCAAACCAGGCAAACGGAACCACAAGCTCATTTCCTTCTTCGCTAACCGGAATTTTCACCTTTCCTTTCCTTTCTTGCAGAAACACGCTGTCTGGCTTGCTTCTCTCTCTTTCCTCTCCACCAACCTTCCCTCTGTGTGAGGACACTCGGTTTCGAGAGTCCTCTCTCCCCATCTGCTCCACTGGCAGCAATGGGACTGCTTGCATTGTAGTGTCATCCTGGCTACAATCGCGTTGTAAACAACCCCCAACCACACCCCCTCCTCCACCTGTCCAGGCTCGGTGAGAGTCGCGTCTGTTCACCATGGCGACTACTTCGCACATGTTCATGTACTCCTTGACGATCCAGCCTCCGACTGCGATCACCCAGGCCATTCTCGGTCAATTTGCTGGGACCAAGGAGCAGCAGATTGTCACCGCGTCCGGATCGAAGCTCACGATCCATCGTCCCGATCCCACCCAGGGCAAGGTCACGCCGCTCTTTTCCCAAGATGTCTTTGGCATCATCCGCTCGCTGGCAGCCTTCAGACTGGCCGGTAGTAGCAAAGGTATGTTATGCTTTCCCTGTCGGACTTTCAAGATCATCATAGTGATTCTTCAAGCTTCCCGGGCAGCACGATCCCTTGCCGAATCGTCCCCGCTTGGTGCTGGGACGTGCTCCCGGTCGGCAACGTTGACACTGGGTCTTGGTGATTGAGAACTGTGCTGAAAGATGCCTGTAGATTACATCATCATTGGCTCGGATTCGGGACGCATCACTATCATTGAGTATGTGCCGTCTCAGAACCGGTTCAACCGGATTCATCTCGAGACATTTGGCAAGTCGGGTGTCCGCCGTGTCATCCCAGGCCAGTATTTGGCTGTGGATCCCAAGGGCCGTGCGTGTATTATCGCTTCTGTCGAGAAGAACAAGCTTGTATACGTCCTGAATCGGAACTCGCAGGCCGAGCTGACGATCTCGTCCCCGCTTGAAGCCCACAAACCGCAGACACTGGTGTTTGCCATGACGGCGTTGGATGTCGGGTATGAAAACCCGGTCTTCGCAGCGCTTGAGGTCGACTACTCAGAGTCTGATCAGGACCCCACTGGCCAGGCTTTCGACGAGCTGGAGAAGCATCTGGTCTACTATGAGCTGGATCTTGGACTCAATCATGTAGTTCGCAAGTGGTCCGATCCCGTCGATCGCACGGCTTCTCTTCTCTTCCAGGTCCCTGGAGGCGCAGACGGTCCCAGTGGTGTGTTGGTGTGTGCGGAGGACAGTGTTACCTACCGTCACTCTAACCAAGATGCGTTCCGAGTGCCAATTCCTCGGCGCAGCGGTGCCACTGAGAACCCGGAGCGTAAGCGTTCCATCACGGCCGGTGTGATGCACAAGATGAGGGGTGCTTTCTTCTTTCTCATTCAGACTGAAGACGGTGATCTCTTCAAGCTTACCATCGACATGGTTGAAGATGACAACGGTCAGCTCACGGGTGAAGTCAAGCGACTGAAGATCAAGTACTTTGATACTGTTCCGCTGGCCTCGAGCTTGTTGATCCTGAAGAGTGGTTTCCTCTATGTTGCCAGTGAGGCTGGTAACCATCATTTCTACCAGTTCGAGAAGCTGGGTGACGATGATGAGGAGATTGAATTCACCAGCGAGGCTTTCTCAGCTGACCCATCAGTCCCTTGTGACCCGATTTATTTCAGGCCAAGAGGTGCAGAGAACCTCAACCTTGTTGAAACCATCAACTCCCTCAACCCATTGATTGACAGCAAGGTGGTCAACATTACTGAGGACGATGCGCCTCAAATCTACACTATATCTGGCGCTGGCGCTCGGAGCAGTTTCAGGACGCTCAAGCATGGCCTGGAAGTATCCGAGATTGTCGAATCAGAGTTGCCCAGTGTGCCTTCTGCGGTCTGGACGACCAAGCTCACCAGATCAGATGAGTTTGATGCTTACATCATTCTTTCTTTTGCCAACGGAACTCTTGTGCTCAGCATTGGCGAGACCGTCGAGGAAGTTACCGACACTGGTTTCCTCTCCACCGCACCAACGTTGGCTGTTCAGCAGCTCGGCGAGGACTCTTTGATTCAAATCCACCCAAGGGGTATCCGTCACATTCTCGCAGATCGTCGGGTGAATGAGTGGCCTGCCCCTCAGCATCGGTCGATTGTCGCAGCCGCAACCAACGAGCGTCAAGTCGCCGTTGCTCTCAGTTCCGGCGAGATTGTCTACTTTGAGATGGACTCTGACGGGTCATTGGCTGAGTATGACGAGCGCCGTCAAATGTCCGGCACGGTTACCTGTCTCAGCCTGGGTGAAGTTCCCGAAGGTCGCGTTCGGAGCTCGTTCTTGGCTGTCGGCTGCGACGACTCGACTGTCCGTATTCTCAGCTTGGACCCTGACTCTACTCTGGAGAACAAGTCAGTTCAAGCCCTGACCGCTGCTCCTTCAGCCCTGAACATCATGTCCATGGCTGATTCCAGTTCCGGAGGAACTACCTTGTATTTGCACATTGGTCTGTATTCCGGTGTCTACCTGCGGACAGTTCTGGACGAGGTCACCGGTGAGCTCTCAGATACTCGCACGCGTTTTCTGGGATCTAAAGCTGTAAAGCTTTTCCAGGTGTCTGTCAAGGGACAAACGGCAGTGCTGGGCCTGAGCTCGCGTCCCTGGCTTGGGTATTCTGATGTTCAAACGAAGGGCTTCATGCTTACTCCACTTGATTACGTTGGGCTCGAATGGGGCTGGAACTTCTCAAGTGAACAGTGTGTTGAGGGCATGGTTGGTATCCAGGGACAAAATCTACGGTACGTTCATTGTCTTTATCCCCCACTTTGCACTTGCAATCGATCGTATGATGAGAACTGGGATCCGAAAGCCTATGTGGAAGAACCTTTTATACTTGTACTATTTCCAATTGTTCCTACTGAGATCATTCATTTACACTATCATTTGTCTTTGAGGTATTTATTGGACATCAGCTAACATGCGTGGCTAGGATTTTCTCTATCGAGAAGCTGGACAACAACATGTTGCAACAGTCGATTCCCCTCTCGTATACTCCGCGCCGCTTCCTCAAGCATCCTGAGCAGCCGTTGTTCTACGTTATTGAATCTGACAACAACGTTCTGTCGCCCTCTACCAGAGCCAAGCTGCTGGAGGATTCGAAGTCCCGTGGCGGTGACGAAACTACTCTTCCACCCGAAGACTTCGGATATCCCCGGGCCACAGGGCATTGGGCTTCTTGTATTCAAGTGGTTGATCCCTTGGATGCTAAGGCAGTCGTTCATACCATTGAGCTGGAAGAAAATGAGGCGGCGATTAGCATTGCTGCAGTCCCTTTCACCAGCCAGGATGATGAGACGTTCCTGGTGGTAGGAACAGCCAAAGACATGACTGTCAACCCGCCCAAATCCGCCGGTGGCTATATCCACATTTACCGCTTCCAGGAGGATGGAAGAGAGCTGGAGTTCATCCACAAGACCAAGGTCGAGGAACCACCTCTTGCCTTGATGGGATTCCAGGGCCGCCTGGTTGCTGGTATCGGGTCGTTGCTTCGCATTTATGATCTTGGTATGAAACAGCTCCTTCGTAAGTGTCAGGCGCCGGTGGTGCCAAAGACGATCGTTGGTCTGCAAACCCAAGGATCTCGAATTGTCGTTAGCGACGTTCGCGAAAGTGTCACATATGTCGTTTACAAGTATCAAGAGAACGTCTTGATTCCGTTTGTGGATGACTCTGTGTCTCGTTGGACCACTGCCACCACTATGGTTGACTATGAAACCACTGCCGGTGGTGACAAGTTTGGCAACCTTTGGCTCCTCCGTTGCCCGAAGAAGACGTCTGAAGAGGCGGATGAGGATGGATCGGGCGCGCATTTGATTCACGAACGCGGCTATCTCCAGGGCACCCCCAATCGCTTGGAGCTGATGATCCATGTGTATACTCAGGACATCCCAACGAGCTTGCACAAGACTCAACTTGTAGCAGGTGGTCGGGACATCCTCGTCTGGACTGGTTTCCAGGGCACGATTGGCATGTTGGTGCCATTCATCGGCCGAGAGGATGTGGACTTCTTCCAAAACCTGGAGATGCAGTTAGCTGCACAGCACCCTCCTCTCGCTGGACGGGACCACCTGATCTACCGCAGTTACTATGCGCCGGTCAAGGGTGTCATTGACGGAGACCTGTGCGAGATGTACTTTTTATTGCCTAATGATACGAAGATGATGATCGCAGCGGAACTGGACCGTTCTGTCCGGGAAATCGAGCGCAAGATTTCGGTAAGACTGCCTTGACTACAAACAACATATAAGATGACTAATGATGTTATAGGATATGCGGACCAGGGTGGCGTATTAATTTGAATGGTTTCGGCGTCTACCAGGGCTAATGTTGTATGAGGGTTTCGGATACCCCATAGTTGATTCTCCTTTTGCACATGAAGACATGTACATTTACATCAAATACCAGATTATCCTGAATCCGGTATCCGTTGGTGGTGAGTGACGCATTGTGCGTTGAGCTCCCTCGTATACAGTAGTGCACTTAGTGATGTCACGTCTCTTGCCTCGCTCGATCTCTCGCTCCCCTCGGTTGATCTTGAGCTGGATGCAGCCTGTACTAGATACAGCCTGTACGAGACAAGAATAAGGCGTAAGCCTTCGACGATCTTTGAGTACGATCTTACCCGCATGCCACGGGTATCATCGTAATTTATCCGTCGAGACAACACAGTAGCAGATGCAGTAGATGTTGACATTCAGCAATGATATTATATTCAACTGTAATGAATGATGTCTGATTTGACTACCTTCCATACTACTGCTTATTAGCCAACCCAGAAAACTACTAGAAGTAGTAGTACAAATATATTACAGTAAGTTTATAATGATCGAGAGCCGAAGTTATACTACTAAGATATATCACACATCAGACTACTATGTATAACCAACCAACACTAGCATAGATAGCCACTACGACAATTAAGTACCAAGTTATACCATAGTATGTAGTTAATCACAAAAATAATACTATATTTCCTACTGGCGAATATCCCGATCAATGATCCTCGCAGCAGCGAGACATTTCTCGTCCTGGAATCGGGACGTGATGATTTGTAATGCGCAGGGAGCGCCGTCGACTTCGTCGGGATTATCTATATAATTTATTTTGTCAGTGACTGCTTTCTCACATTGTTACTCAGGTGATTGGGTAGGTAAGCTTACAACTAGGCTGCATGCCATCGTTGATAGCCATGGGCTCAGGATCGAGGTCCTTTGAAGCCTGGCCGTAGGGAATGATGCATGCTGGGTACTGTTCATACGGTTAGGTTTGTTCCATAATGCAATGTAGATAGCATATACTCACGTCGAGTAGGTTCCACACGACCGTGTAGGGCGGCCACGCGTACGTATCATGTGGGACGGCGGTGTTCTGTGCCCCTGGGCCGAGAATTACATCTATGCCGGTTTCGATCCAGACTTTGCGCCATGCGTCGCGGTAGTCTTGTCTCTTGTGATGTAATTCATGGATCTCTTCGAAGATGCCCAGCTCTTTGGAGACGGGGAAGTCACCGGTAACCATCGGGGAGGGCCCCTTGGCCACAGAGGTGACTAGTGGCTCACCGCTGGGAGTGACGTGGTCGTGGTGTGGTGAGTAGGTGCCGTATTGCCAGAAGAGGCGGTTCGCGTAGGCGATGTCGAGGTCTTTGTTGGTGTCATTGTCGAGATAGACGATGCGGTGGCCCTTTCGGGTCAAGGCTTCAATGGCAGATTGCAGGGCCCGTTTGATAGGCGGGTGGAGGGGATATTTCTCGTCCGTGGCGAGGATGCCAATCGTTAGTGGCTCTGTTAATTGAGGATTGCGGGACCAAGGTGCTGCGAGGGTCGTCACGTCGTAGCGCCAGGGTTCGGCGTCGAGGATGGTGGACATGAAGAGCTCGAGATCCTCAAACGTTGCGGTCATGGGACCGGCGCAGGGTTCAACTGAGGGGGGTCCTTCGTACAGGAAGCTGACTTGGCCGCCGTAGGGGATTCGGGCTGTCGTTGGTTTGAAGCCGTAGATGCCGCAGCAGAGCGCAGGGATGCGGATTGAGCCTGCGACGTCGGTGCCGACGCCGATGAGGGAGCCCCGGAGGGCTAGAAGTGCACCTTCGCCGCCAGTGGAACCACCGGCTGTGAGGGCTGTGTTGTGGGGGTTGAGGGTACGTCCGTAGATGTTGTTGTCTGAGTCGGCGGTCTGGAGGTGTCAGTTGTGCATGCTTACATATTGGTGAGGAGGCTTACCAGCATCGTTTGGGGAACGTTTGTCTTCACGTACAGCACCGCGCCCAGATCCAGTAACATATCTACTACAGCCGAGTTCGTGGTCGCAGGACCATGCCCAAGGAATGACACATATCCAATGGTGGTATGGTATCCTTTCACATGGTAGCTATCTTTGAGACTGATCGGAAGGCCATGCAGCGGTCCGATGACTTTCTTCTCCCGCTTGAGATAGTCGTCAAGGTACTTGGCGCGTTCTAGAGCGAAATCGAAGAAATGCTCCGTCAAGCACGATGTCTACCACGTATTAGTTCAGAGTCTAAGTAAGGATCCTTTGTAGGTAGCCCACCAATTGCTGCGCAACAGCCGCCCGCTTGCAGAACGCGGTCGTAACGGCCACGGAGCTTAGCTCGCCAGAGGCAAGTTTCCTGAGCAATTGCGAAGCATCATAGCTGCCAGTAATATCTAGCTCGGCATCTGTGAGGATTCCACTCTTCTCAACAGCATTGGAGGCCAAGAGATGCGTAGGACGAGGAAGCGAAGAAACAAAGTCCTCCTTAAGCCGCCACTCGGAGGGGATCTTAGAGTCGAGGTCTTTACGTCTTTCAGCGACAATGACACGCCAATCTTTGGCTGGAACTTCTGTGAAAGTCATGGTGATTCTGATTATTTGGTCTGTAGTGAGGGGTGGAGGGGTTGCGGGATGACACGAAATGGTGGTTCAGTTGCGCCCGGTTATACTTCCCCGGGGCATCCCACCGTGCTGACAGGATGATCTTTCTTTATCGTACTTGGCGGAGTATAAGATTCCCGCTATCTGGTTCCGATTCCTGCAGGAACTTGTTATCAGCAAAGATCCGTCATGGTGGGTTGGGGTTATTTGGCTATTGGTCCCTGTATTCACTTTCAAACTTAACAGGAGGCCATTTAGATCTGGAGCTTTCATTACTCCTTCCGGGCACGTTATGGGCTTCATTTAGCCCAGAGATGCTTGTAAGGTTTCCAGCAGAATGATGGAAATATTCTCCTTGAGGATAAAAGCTCAGGTGTAGAGGAACACTCATCGTTTCTGCTTATCCGCTTAAGACTGAGTGCTGCCGACAGTGATGAGAACCAGGGTGGTTGGTGGGGAAGAAACTGGGGTGGTTAGAAGAAATGAGGAGTACGAGAAGAGAAGACACATATAATTGCAAGGAAGTCCCATGACCCGCTGTCAGGTGCCTCTTTGTTACATCTCGCCATACAACTTTACTCAGTCAGTAACCACAATGTCTAGCGACAATAGTCCAACGAGTTCGTCTATTTCAGATGTACAAACAAAATCATAAACATCTCTTTCCAACACACTCACACAATTTATCGTCCCACAATAACTTGTATCAGAGCCTACTCCCTCAAGTTCCCTCAATGGAACCCCTTCCTCACATTATCATACTGCGACGTCGGATACTCCAGATGATTCTCCGACCTTTCCAGAGCGCCGGTACCACCTAGAGAATCCACGACCGTAGTAATCAAACTCTCCGCCCCAACCTTATCCGCCGAAGTCTCCCACCACATGGCACCCCCCAGGCCCTTATTCCTGATATACTCCGCCTTCTGCCTAGCAATAGCAGGCGTATCATAGCTGATCATCGTCCGTTTGGCAGCATCAAACGAGTAACTCGCACCAATAGTTCTCAGTTCAGACACATTGGCCCCCACAGGAGGAAGCGCTTTGTAATCCCAGACCCCATCCTCGAAGCTTCCTTTACCGATACCGTTGAACGGCTTACCCGGGCCTTCGGTGTTCAAGAAGGCGCGCCCGTAGAGCGGCATACCGAGGATGAGCTTGTTGGCAGGAACGCCGGCGGCCACGTATGCGGAAATGGCTTGCTCTGTGTGGAAGGGTGTCGAAATGGGGTCATCTCGTGAGAAGTAGAGGTTGGCCTGGTGTCCTGCTGTTGTGTCCCAGCTGCCGGCGTAGTCGTAGGCCATTACATTCCAGAAGTCGAGGTAGAGGTTCATGGCGGATATGTGGAGGGTGTTGTATTTGGAGGGACCTGCTGAGGTGGCTATGCTGAGGAGGAAGTGCGTGCCGTTGCCATGTTCGCGGCTGTATTTGTCTAGTTCCTGCTTAGGGTTAGTGGGTGATTGATGGGTATGGCAGAGGTAAGGTGAAGCATACCTGTCGAACCTCGCGTAGGAGTAAAACCATGTCAGAGGCTTGGGCTTCATTGGCAGGGTACTACGTAGGTAGACACATTAGCACGGCATTGGAGAATAACCCGTAGCCATCATAGAGGTACATACCTCCCAATCTATATCCAATCCATCAAAACCCAAGTCGGCCAGCAACTTGACAGCCGAGGAAGCGAAAGTCTTCCTGCCTTGATTCGTACTCGCCGGGATCACAAAATGGGGTGAGTATGTCCAGCCTCCAATCGATAGAAGCACCTTGAGATTGCGATTCTTCTGCTTCAGGAGGTTGAGTTGCTTGACACACCCGTAAACATTGTTTCCGACATCATTCCATGAATCACCGGGGAAGTGCTTATCAATATCGGACCATCGGTCAGCCAGGATGACGTCGCCGCTGGAGGTGACGTTGGCGAATGCGTACATAATATGGGTCAGTTTATCGACGGGGATTTCCTGCGGAGTGTGATTCCTGGTGTAGATTGCCTTTTATCAATCAGTATAACATCAAAGGAATGTATCGATAGGCGGATGAGGTGACTCACCCAGCTAACAAAGTAAGCAATGGACTTGTATTCTGCGCTGGTGTTGCGTGGTATCAGATGGTGGGTGCCAGGCTCAAGGTGGCTAGGTCCGGGAAATTTAGCTGGATCAAGATCACTAATGCCGTGGCGGTGGCGGTGATGGTGAGCACTGCTGACCACCGAGACCAAGGCCACAAGTAGAAGAGAGAAAAGCTTCATGTTACAAGATGAAAGAGCCAAAAAATGATCAACAAGAATGGAATAGAATGGGTGAATAGAGAGGTTGAAGGAGGGTCAGCCTTGATATAGCAAGACAAGATTGAGAAGGAATGTAAATGCAGAGCGAACCAGTCGACATGTAGTGCAGGTAGAGAGTGACAGAGGGTCATCTGCTTGCATACTTATATTCATTCTCTGTTTGTCTGTGCTGCTGATGTGCTTGAAAAAATCTGTCACCAGCGGTGAAAGCAGACTTGCATGAATGTAACCACAACATTTTTGTGAATGACTTCAAAGAGGTCACCAACCATCTTCCCCTGTCAAAACACAGTCTATTGGCCTGGTAAGAGCAAATAATTAACAATGGGGACTGATGGTGTTTGAAACATGACAAGTGGTTTGACCCATGGTTATTCTTGCCATATTGAGTCTATATGAGACTTCATCTGCCGATTTGATGCGCGGAGGTAGATGTGCTACTATAACATTAATGAAGGCCTGACGCCGTGAAATCGTCGACGGGATCCATATATTAACTGGTGGAGATGTTCTGGAGTACGCTGCCACCTCATAAACGGAGATAGAATTCCGGTATGGCAGGAGTGGCTTGCTCAACAGTGTGGATGCATCAGGTGCTGCAGACACCGTGAAAGAAGACCGAAGAGGGAGTGGCTGACCCGCACACAAATTGGAGGGGCTTGTGTAACCCTGCAACAAATGGGAATAGCCTCGCCGAGAACCGGATAAGGCAGGCCGATGCAGGTCCCGCCTTTGTTCGGATGTTGGTTACCCCGGAATATGAGTGGGGCCTGAAACGTTAGGTGGACGGGGTAATCGAATATACATCCAGCATCAGTGCGCCGTAAGCCCTGATCTATGCCGTCAGGCACGCAATCTAATGAGCTCAGAGGCTCGATCTAATGCAGTAGAAACAAGAAAGGGATCAAACGTGTTGCATTCTGAGTGTATGAAGGTGATGGTATTGATCTAATCACATGCGATCCGAAGACGTAGAGGTAGAGCGCCTACCTTTTTCTTTGGGAAGGTGCTCGTTGCAATCAGAGAATACTAGTCAGACAGAACGTGATCATGGAGTCGAGTTATATTTCGTGTCTCTTTCCACCGCTGGCTCTTTACTGAGTGCAATAACCCATGAAAATAGGTCGCCGCATGTATTCTAGTCATTCAATTCATATCCTTATTCCAGATCGGGCGGGCATAGGTAGATGCTAGCTATGCAGGTGCTTCAGCGTTTGAAGCAAGGATATGGCCCCGAACGCCTTCAATGCTCTCAAGATTGCAGTACACACACGTAGAACACATAAATCAACGCGTGCCACGACGTAGGAAAGCCATAATCATAGCTAACACAACCAAACAGTAAAAGCGAAAGCAAAAGCGTAGTCATGCAACAGTAGAAATATCAAACAAGTGTCGCAGCCGGCTGGCTGCCTGCGAGCCATCATCCTCTTCGCTCTTCGTCCATTATCTTGCTTCCAACATGCGTATTCCTTCTGCACGTTTCGCCTTCCCTGCTGACTCAAACAGAGCGTCTTTTGTTCCCTCTACCCGGCGTCTTCAGTGAGGCCTGCGTGTTCCTGGCTTGGGTCAAGCACTGCCTGTTCAGGGTCAGGATCGAGTTCGACCTGGCTGAACTGCCCGAGTAAGCCTATCTGCAGCATGAATTCTGCGACGTAGCGGATCGCCTGCGGGCCTTGTATCCTAGTCATTCAATACCTGCATAGCCACCAGACAACATCATCTGAGGATCGAGCAAGGATTACAGTAGAATTCATCAATCAATCACGGAGCTGAAACGCCTTCGCCACTGTCAGTGCATTCATATTGCATCTAGATGAAACTCCCAGAGTAACCACTACAGGCTTACGATAGAGGAACTGTTGGTCATAATTCAAGGAAGATACTATACCTAGCCCCCCAAAGTCTACTTGTTACCCTTCCTTACCCTTTATAAACTAGCTCCAGGGCTACTCTCTTATGGGCAACATATTTGACTACAGTTTGTAAGTACTATCACGTGATTTCACCTACTAAAACATAGTAATTAAAACGCCTAGTTTCCTATTTAAGGTAAGTGGTAACAATGGGTCCTCTGAGCTCGTGACCCGTGCTAAGCCTAATCAGTTAAAGAGCGAGGGTACAAGTACGATTTAGGGGGGTATGTATAGTATCTTCCTGATTCAATTTCAATGACTATATTCATTCATTAATTAAAGTATAATGGGATTCCATTCCCTAATCAAGCCATATGCAAATGCCTGGTAAATCAACATCATGCTGGGTATCCCCGAATAACAAACTTTTTCTGCTTTTGCAAACCTGGGTATATTGTAACCACATGAAACCAAAACGCCAATAGAAAAGAAATAAAGAACGTAACATCTGGGTGCACCCCTGGGAATTCTGTGTTGCCTTGGCAGCAACGCAGTACTAGCAGGGCGCCCCTAAACTCTAACGCTGCCGGAGTTGGTCACCGATGGCGGTAACATTCTCGAGCGGTCAGGAGGCAGGTTGGAAACCTGGACCGACGTATACGCGGGTGGTGCAATAGGGACGAGCTCGGAGACAGATGGGGGCGCAATGCTGCGCGGGCTGAAAAATTGCGTGTTCACTTCATCCTGGGAAATATCGACCACGGTGCCCTTAGCTCCGGTGCCTGGCTGTGCTTCGCAGGTCAGCTGAAGTGGGACCTTCAGGGATGCAGTGGGCGTCAGGATTCTGGAATTAGCGGCGTGGTAAGAGATGCTGAGCTCTAGGGCGTACGCGCGCGCGATCAAGCAGGAGTAGAACGTCGGCACAAATGACTTGGATTTGGGGAGGGTGATTGGCACAACGACCGACGCGGTATAGTAGGTGTTTCCGGCGAACGAGGCAGATGGACTTGGCAATGAGTCAGTAGACGAGGTCGAGTGCATGGAGTCACGGCGTTCGAGATCGGTGTCGGTGTGTTTGATCCATTGTGCGGATGCAACGCACATGGTGGACAGTGGTACAGTCTCGGTGTACATGGCGCGGCCCATCTGCGCCCAGGATTTGATACAGGCGGCGGACGGATAATCACCCCAGGGATCGGAGCTGTAAAAGGTCGACACTCGGAGTTTGCTCCATACAGTTCCTAGACGAGGAGGCTGCTCGTTGCCCACCGGATCGAAGCGTAGCTGCATCGTGGCAACGGTGCTCACTGAATCGCAGCTCCCGGTGTCGGATGGACTCAACTGCACTGGCTTGGGCTGTGCGGCAGCCAGCACCAATCGGCCCAACTTCCCCCTCATTAAGCCACGCTTCACATCCTTTTCTTTGCGGACGCTGTACAAGCCATCATTGTCCTCCACATTAAGGGGTGGTTCCTCATCCACCGCAGGAATGACCCGTACCTTTTTCCCAACGGACACTAGCGTAACCGGGGAGGCGTTCTGGGCCATGGGCTTTCTCTGGAGGGTCACACGAACGAGATAGGAGATGCGGCACATTTCGGGGGCCATGTCGTCGATGACCGATTTGCGGTTGCTGGCTATCATGGGATCACCAAACGTGGGGGGCAGCAGCGTGTGCGATTGTTCGACATGCAGATTGGTTTTGGCGTGGTTACAGATATGAGGCAGAAGACGCTCAGGTACCACAAAGGTGAAGGGAAACTCATAGTTGCGCCCGGGTTCAAGAACCCGGGGGGTGGGATATGCGGACTCATCGATGGGTTGTCGCAGTCGGAGGAATGTATGGTAAGCCCCAGTCCGGCCGGGCATCGATTGGCGCTCCACCGAGGTCCTCGATGTTCCTAATCCAGTCAGTATGACTATATCCCTGGTATTCTCCTGAGATTCTTGGAGGCAACATACCCTCAAATGTAATTTCTAGGTCATCAAAGCGAGTATCATGATCGACCGTGATGGTAACCGTACCCTTGATGGTATCTCCGGTGGTGAATGAAGGGACCAAGCCATCCGTTTGATTGGCGAGTATAATATCAACCTTGGGGCGGGAGCGAACCGTAAAGTTGGCAAGGGAGCTGGAGCCGCGCGTGATGATCGATGAGGTAGCCATTGCAGGTGTAGAAGATCCAATTGTATGTGTACAAAGGAACCCGCGGTGGTAGCTGTTGGTAGTATAGAAGGGGATTGGCGAACGAATCACCAATTCACCCACGGGTAAGCAATTGGTAGGGTTGTAGTGGGAGACTGCAATGATGGAGAAAGGAAAATCTGGGCAGAAAGACTGCGGAGTAAAAGCTTTTTAATATATTTAATGTCTTCTGAAAAAAAGGGAGATAATAAAAAATAGAAAACAGTAATAAAAAAAGAATAAAAATTCAAGGGTGAATGTAGGGATGGGGTGACTGGCAGTTGCCGTTGGGTAATGGAAAAGCAGCGGTGGAGCAGTTCAATGTTCGAGAACTGGATCTGATGCTGTTCAGGAACAACTTCCGGTTTTGTTATTTGAGTCTCTGGCTATTCTCGGGCTTGCATTGCATCCTGCTTGAATATGTACTTTTTCACTCTCCAACTTGACGATGCAAGAATCGTCTACCCTCCTTCCACCCCCTTCTGTGAGTCATGCTGAACATGCACGTGCACGTGGTGATTGCTTTGATATTCGATCCAAGGGGATGTTAGAAGCGGTCCAGAAACATGCGGGTTAGGGGACCGAATGAACGAGAAAAGCCTAAAAACGAAGCGCCCGAGCAAGCTGATAGGTTGACGAGCATCCTGCACGGGGACCGACCAATGCGATGGAGTCCATGGAATGAAGTCCGTGTGTGAAGTCAGTCGCTCGGGAAAGCAGCGATTGGCGGGCTTCCCATCGCGCCCTTTGATGACAACTGCCGACCAGCAAAGCCCTCCACGCCCTACAGCAAATTGGTTCGTAACCAGGTTTAATGCCCACCAAGAAGAATGCGAATGACGCCAGTGCTAGCTGATCTTCCATGATTGTCGGTCTACTAGAACTACTTTGATGAATTTGCAGGGTTATTCTATACGCGTCTATCCTCTTAAGAGTTTGGTCTACCTGCAAGAGTCTGGTCACAACAGCTCGAACATTCTTGACGAGCAGTCCCCTCGCGTGATAGTGGTAGATCTCACGCCATTGAGTTACGGACCTTCTGATCCTTACGCGAAAGAAAACCCCCCATCAACCAGTCGTTCAATAGTGTTGAACTTCGTGACTTGTCAGCCTGTTCGTGTCCAAGTGCTGCGACATCGGAGCGACAAAAGACCATCCAATACAAGTTCTTGGGTGATCGGCGAAGGTTTTTGATGACGACGGATGGATCAAAATCCACGCCCTTGTAGTGACAACGTTGGCAAGCCACCGGGGTAAAATGCCCATCCCGATTGGCGCTGACCGCCGTGTTCTTCTGACCAGTCACTCCTGCTGGTTCGCACTGCTATTTTAGGTTGGTTCCGACCCTCGCTTGCTTTTTAATTCAATGCGCCCTTCAATACGCCCTGACACAATCTATCATCAAATTCTCGCGATGAACTACTATCAATTTAAAAACTAGCGACCATAGACAAACTCGGCTTCTATAGATCCCACATCGGTTTCCCGGCCCCGTTCTCTCTTCATTCCGCACCCAAGCGAGAATAGCCGCGCCCGATTTGCTCCAGACTTTTCCGCTCTTAACCGCTAATCAGGGCCCTTTTTTCCTTCACGGAATTTCCGCCTCCTGAGCTCGTGGAGCTCTTAATGGCTTTAAAATTTCTGGGACCTCCCGTTCTAATGTATGGAGTACCCGCTTTAGATCTCCGATTCAACTCCACCGGTGCCACCACCTGATGCTGTTCTTCGCCTAGAGACGGGCCGGTTGGGTGCTTTTCCGTCCCTGTTTTCCGCGGCCAACACTTATACCGAGGATGTTGGTCGCAGATTTTGCATCCTATATTAATATAGGCTTACAACCTGGGTTTATCCATTGCAACAGAATACGGGAATAATCCAATGCCGATTTGGGGTTATTATATGCGAATATAAAGCAGAATCGGCATCCCGAACGGCCACCAATTGCTGACCGTATAGCACATGCACATCACTACTACTCCAGCTAATGACAATACGTACAGCAAAGTATCTCCGAGGTCTGATCTGCATAATGCGCGCATTAGCCGTTGTACCAAGCTTTGAATGTCGGAAAAATAAGACCACAGTGCCAAGGCGATACCGAATAGGAAGGTCGTTTTACTTTTACCTACACTGCATGTCAGTGACCTATGATTGGTACTGAACTCCTCAAAAAGTTTGAGGATGGTGATATACCCACTTGTCTAACTGGAATGCTTGATTGGGATCTACGTCCCTAGTGAAGAGTAGATATGCGCATGATCATCTTGGTAAATGACATACGCGGCTTTCATCAATACTTACATAGGGAGAATCTCGACTTCAACTCAATGTAGTATATTAACTAGTCGGTCGTGGATTGCAATTCCAGGAAGAACCTTGTGCCCAATCGCCGCCAGAACTGTATGATTACGATCGGTTTGAACAGCACTCATTGCCAGAGCAGGCTGAGGGTAAGATAATAATAATAACAGTAACAGCGTACATTGTGATTCACTACTATTGACGGATGCGTGTTATCAGCTCAGTGCAATAAAAGCTTTCTGGCAGTAAATTAATTGAGTACTAGTAGACTAAACAAAACCAAAGCTATAATAATATACATCGTGGACCTTTTGGGAAAAAAACAGGCTACCGTAACAAACATGACTGCATACCAGAGCCACAACGAATTCATACAGACACTATCATTAAGCATGTTGGTAATCCTTTGGGCTTGCCTGCAGTGGCATAATGGTAGAATATCACCAGGAAGTCTCTACTTATACAAGAAGAGGTAGGGGGGGCTTCTTCTTGATATTTACAGACTATAGGTTCAACTCCTATTACGGGTATCTACTCTACCGGGAGATATCGATGCCAAAAACATGTCTAGGAGAAGTTGTTGCAAATATCTGTCTGTATAAAAGCTTCTGGACTTTATACAAGGATCTGTCCATTCAATTATGATATTGGAATTCTATTACAGAGCTGGGAAGCTTTGATACCAGGCAGGGAGTATGAGTTATATAGCAGCACACGCAGACAGGCGGCTGCATCAGGTTAAAGAATATAAACTAAACTAAAACTAACTAAAAACTACCCTCAAGCCCGACAGCTATTGTCCCGCATGTCATGGAGAAATCGGATGGTTCACCTCGCTTCGGCAGCCAAAGCGATCGCCTCGAGATATATTTTGCAGATGCGAGAAATTATCGTTTGCCGGGACTCTTTCCACCGCAGCTCTAGAACGGCGCACTTTATCGCAATTACGTTAGCTTATCAAGATTCGAACTAAGCGGATGGATCAAGTAAAGAAGGGTTCACAATACCACTCCATTATCATCGTAATTCAGAAAAGTCCATTGATAGGAATCCGTGTAAATGCCATAGATGGCTGCCTTGAAGCGGTTCTTTCTCCGAACACGATTAATCACCGCTGATTTCAAGAATCAGCAAAAGACGTAAAGAATATACTAATTATAACCTGGAACTCACAAATGGCCGTGCGAGTCCTCGCATCCGAACGAAGCACCTTATCCCTAAACACGAGAAGGTTCGTTTCCAAAGCCGGAATCGATCCATAACACAGCATGTAGTCCACCGTTTCCTGATAAGAATCAGGCACTCCCGCGACCCGGCGGTCCACAATGAGAGGAACCTGACTGAAAAAGCTCGGTGTATAATCGGTGGGTTGCAAGGCTGTGGGATACCTCTTCTTCATTTCGGCTAGCAGTAGAAAGAGGATGGAATCTAGTCTGGGGAACGCCATTTCTGCACTCTCGTGTCCTGTTCCAAGGGCTAGACTGTAATCATCCATGAGGCCATCTAGATGTACGGAATTAGCCTATTGTGAGCCAGTTCTCGATATGTGTTGAGATGGGTGGAGTCATACTGAAACTCGCAGGTAGTCTTATCCGTGATAATTCTTCGTCAAGTGGCGAAACTTCCCTGTGTGTCTCGCTGGGCACAACGGTGGACTCGTCGATGTTGTCGAGATAGAGGTCGAATGTGTTGAGGACGGCATTTTCGCCTTTGTCATTGCCTTCGCAAGAGGGACTGGTACCAATATTTTCCATAATGTTGTTATTATAAGTATGATTAAAATGAATGGGGTAATGAGAGGAGTTAGAAACTTTGCTAGAATTAAAGGCTGCGTAGAAAGGTTTGAGATGATGTTGCTTTGGAAATTCAAGCGCCAGAAGACACTGTTCCTGCCTCTTGCTTCTACAAGGCCTCTACTTACAGTCTCTCCTTCCTTCGGAGACCTGAACCTACATACGGATATCTCCAGTCATAAAATAATGCAACGCGGATCTTTTCATTTCTCAGAACACCAGAGCTGGTGGGGTAGAGAGCCATCACAACGCGACATTAGTTAAACTCCGGCGCAGCCCCCTGGATCTTGATATAAGCCTGCTGAACCTCCTTCCGACCAGTCATCACCCGCAACCACTGCGTGATAAGAGGGTACTTCTCCAGCGACAGTCCAGCAAAATCAAACTCTCGCACCCAAGGCTCAAAGTGGTAGTCAACGGCTGTGATCCGTCCAGGTAAGACACTTTGTCCACCGGACTTCTGCAGCTGGCCCTCCAGCACCCCATAGCAACGCTCCGTCTGCGCCGCATACCGTTGCAGGGCGTCCTCGTTCTTGGTTCCATTGTAGTGCCTGATGCGTATCAGTAAGGATATTCCAAACCCCTTCCCACACGTCCTGACATGTAGAGAAAGAATCCTACATACCTATACCAATTCGTCTGCCCCGTCATCGGCCCGAGCGTCGAAAGCAAAAAGTACTCCCACTTTTCAAAGTCCACTCTATCCTGCTCTGACCCTTTCGGACCTAGAAGATTGTCCTTGTCATAGATGCGCCGGACATAGTTCATAACAGCGCCCGATTCCCAGGATACCACACCAGTGTTGGGGTCTTCAAGGGCTGGTACACGACCGTTCTCGTTGATCTTGAGGAAGACCTCACCCTTGACACCCTTTTCTCGGTCGTCGCCAAATTCCCACAGTTTGACATTGTAGGGAACTTGCAGGGCTTCGAGGGCGATGGCGATCTTGATGGGGTTGGGGCCCGTGGCGTGTGCGTGGAGAAGGAGGGGTTGCATTTTGGGTGGTTGATTACTTTCCCCTGTAAAGTTGGAGTAATCAGGAAGTTGGATTAAGGTTGGAATAGAAGAAAGGATATTGCTCTCCTTTATAGTGGGGTCGTTGAAAGGGCATTTGGAGTAACAGTTGCTGTGAACAAAGTGGTGGTGACATCATCTTATTTGAAAACGGACGTCGAGTATGGGTGCCCAAAACTGACGTGTTCACAAGGGTCAAACGACCTTCTCCGATCTGCATACCACATAAAATGATTGATGTGACTTGCATATGAGGTGGGGTAGGTAC